TCTTGAAATAGTTCTTACAACACTCCTTGTCTGAATTTCTTAGAAGTAAATTGAACTGACGTGTTAGCTCAAACCCTCCGCTACCCCGCAAAGAGCACAACTTACTTGGTTGAACAGCAGAAAATAAACGAGACTCAAAGTGAAGCAGTTTGAAGACTGTGGGCTACAGGTGCTTCTATAGTTTCTCAGTTTGCCCTGGGGGACGTGAACCATTCTTGTCCTCATTTGTACTCATTGTCCCTCAAATACACTTTTTTTTGCATATATCACTCAACACAGGCAATTGTTGTGCATATTGTTTCTCCTAACCAAGAAACTCCACCTCAGATGGTTTTACATCTACATCATAGCCCATAGGCTTCTAGCACGTCAAAAGGGGGTTAATCTCCATCTCTGTTATAACTGTTGACTTTATTGGGAACAGAGGGAAATCAAGATTTACTTTGCTCTGAATCCGCAAATTAATTTTTCAAATTATGTTGCTTTCTTATAATTTAACCAATATCTCTAATCTCTGTATTACTTGGCCATATACTGGTGTTTGCTTGGTTTTCCACAGTGCTGTAAATACTAAGTCAAACCTGGGGATCGAGGTCTCAGACCTTTGCCCAAAGCCACAGCAACCTGTTCTCTGCTTCCATTACTATTTCAGTTTAACTTTTTTGCATTTTCTAGCAATTCATTTACGGAGAAAGAAAATTTCAGTTTTGGAAGCAGTAATTATAAATCCTTCTTTTTAAATTCAAAGCCCATCTTCAGCATTGGACTGTTAGATACAAATTGCCATCATGGGAAATACTTTTGCAATGCTCAGAACTGAGCACTGCAAAACAGGCTACTAGATTGTGTCCTATTTAATGACATGTCTTAACTTTTACATATGAAACACAAATAAATATCCAGCTCTGAGCTAATGTGACCGGGCTTAGAACCAAGGCAGAAGCATTGTCGTGATGATCAGCCCTGACTTAGTGAATATGTTTTACTAATCCTAAAGATTTCATACATCAACACGCATTGCTTACTGTATTTTGGAAACAGAAGTGCAGAAATAACATGATTAAATCCCAGCAACCTGTGTTAGCCACCATGTCCCTGTCCTATTGTTTTTCTGGACTGACACATGCCAGAAAGTCTGTGTCAGTTATGTTTGAGGGTACTGATGGCACAACCTTCATTTCTTGTAAATGAACTTTTCTTCTGTGTTGTGTAGACAGGAATTTTTCTTCCCATTATGTCTTGGAGATTTAGGTTGTCAGTGCCTTGGAGCTGGACAATCTCCTGTTTTGTTTCAAACAATGGACCTTGACTCAGTGTTGCTGTGCAGGAGATAAAAGAAAGACGACTTGGTGTGCTGAGTGCTCCTCCCAGCTACTCCACTGAATCAACAAGTGTGGCTGAGTGCATTATTTAGCCTCAGTCTTTTAATAATCCCATCAAGAAATCAACAATAAAAATTAACAAATTCATTTGGGTGTTGTACAGATGCGTAATTGTGTATGAAGTAGTGAAAAAAACCAAGGATTATGCATTCTCCTGAAATATAAAAACAAAAGATTAGGATCGAGAAATAAGGATGGGAGTATTAAAATGGGCAGCAACTAAACTGGCGTGATCACAAGGCAAATGTGATTTCCAGGGAAGGAGTTAAAAAGGGCTCCATAGACTGAGAGCGTTTTCAGAGTCTGAGGAGGAAGACAATTATTGGGTGAGGATGAAGAAAAGAAGATAATGATTCAGAAGTGCCTGGTTTGGAGGAAAAGTAATCAGGACAGGTCAGGCACCATTTGGTCATTGCGTTCCTTTTAGAAGGGTGACTGAGCACTCCTAGCTCAGACCTCTGCCTGATGTAGACCTGCCCTCCTAAAGATGCTGAGCCCACAAAGCATGTGCTAGAAACCCTGAAATAGAGGTTTGTTATTTTCCACACCCCGCTGCTCTGTCATTCTACTATGCTTACTCTGGTAGCAGGAATACTCCTCAGACCTCCAAGTATCACGGCAGCGTGGGTCTGTATTACACAGGCTTGCAGAGGGTCACTTCTCACAGTCATTTCCGTAGGGTAGTATCTGCCTTGTAAACACAGAAAGAAGGAAATTGCAGATGTCCAGATTGTAGACAACCTTCACCACCCCCTTGAGAGCATGCCCTAACTCAGATGACCATTGGTGTTGCATTGGCAACTTTGACTATCATCCATCTGGCTTTTTAAGGATTTAATTCCAGAGTTATTTCACAGGACCAAGGAGAATGTGTTGCAAGACTTGGTGAGTCCGGAGTGAAGACTTGCCACTACTGCCTTCCAGGTCTGACTGATCCTGAGAGTTTGGGGTTTTGCCCATGAAATTAATCTCATTTAAATGGCTCTCATGGATCACTGCATACTTTGGGTGCACACCACAGCCAAATTTTCATCTGATTTCTTCTGGCTCCAAGTTAACCTTTCCCATTTGCAGTTTTGTGCTGTATTAAACATTTTTCCCAGCAGGTAAAACACTGCTCTGTGCCAGTCTGTGTAATACCCACATGAAATGGGAAATAACTGCTGATGATTTCTAGAAGAGATGATTAAGACAGAGACCAAATAATTTATCAAACATCTCTTGGCAATTAAGTGAGCCTCTGGGAGGAGATCTTGGGCATGTCTTGTACTTGTTAATGTTATTATTTATAATTATAATTCTATTATCTCTTAGCTTATGTAAACGAGGTTGGCGCCCACATACCATGAAAATAGAGAACTCAGACAGTCATTGCTGCCAGAAACCAATAAACGAAACCAACTAGTTTGAGGTATGGGGAAAGGAGGGATTACTGTTCCCATTGAGGTGAGCCTCCTGCAGTGAGTGCGGAGGGTGGGTTGTCCTCGCCCCGACACACGCAGGACAATGAGGGCATCCGAAAACCTCTCCCCAAATTCTTGGCAAAGGTTATGCTGGAAATCTGCTCCAGACCACTGTGCCTTAACCGGAACACCTTTACCTCACCCTGGGTCTAGATTTGATGTTATTTTCTGGTTTCTGTGGTGTTGTTTCCCTAGTAGGTGCAGGAGCAAGACCAGAGTTTATAATAAATAGCAAAGAAAATGGAGCATTTCCATCCTGCCTGATAAATCCACGGGAGTGCAGATTACAGCTCCCAGCAGGGCAAGGACACAGTTCCTTAAATTTGCTGTTAAGAGGGAATCATCATGTGTAATCTAATTCAGCTCTCCCATTACCAAATGCTGTAAGCAATATTTTTGACATGTAAATCAAATTTATATGTAGATGCAGGACCCCAGCATTTGACCACTGACTTTTGTCTGTGGTCTGTTACATCAGGCAAGGAGCTGGATACAATTTTCCAGTTGTAAGTTTATTTATCGTGAACTCCTGTACATAGCTAGACCAGGATCCACTGTCTGAAAGGGTCCCACATGATATTTCAGAACAAAGGAGTTGTTAAAAGCGGTACATTTTGGAGTAGCTTGTGCGTGAGGCATTTCTAAGCAAGGGTTTCTTTGCCCTTTTTCTTGTTGTTTGTAACTGGTGCAATGTATAATAATATTCACCAGGAATGAAGTGGGATAAGGCAGCTTCTGCAGTATGTAAGTCCTGTTTCCCCTCTCTCCACCACCCCTTCAAAATAGGCTGTGGAAACTCACTGTTAACATCAGAAAAGCCCTTATACCATAGAGCTGCTTCCCTGTGTGATCATCACACCTGAAGCACCCGAGGGCTGTGGTCCGTAGATTTATTTTTTTACCTGTTGCAGAAAAAGAGTGGGAATAAAAAGGAAGCAGAAAGGGTTCTTGCCAAGGTGGTATAAAGTTTCATCTCCCTTTGCAACTAAAAGGTTTGAAAATCTCTCTGCCAAGCAAGACAAAATCAATACTTTTTTCTTAAAAAAAAAAAAGTCTGTTTTGTCAAATCAGCAATCCTCGGTTCCTACAGATCTGAGTTATGTGCTTTGAAGCTTGGACAAGTGGAAGAAGGAAGTTAATTTCTGCAATGAGTAGAAAGAAACTAAGGGTGAAAAATCTCTACGTCAAGCAAGACAGAATCAATACATTTTTTTAAAAAAAAAAGTCTGTTTTGTCAAATCAGCAATCCTCGGTTCCTACAGATCTGAGTTATGTGCTTTGAAGCTTGGACAAGTGGAAGAAGGAAGTTAATTTCTGCAATGAGTAGAAAGAAACTAAGGGTGAATACTGTCCCTGTTTTGAGACGAAAGATGCAATATGGGTCTGATACCATTCAACTAATAATTGCTTAACAGCAAACAATATGCACAGATTCCTCCACCCGTTGGCGTGACGAATGCAGGAAAGTTTGTTTTGTAACTAGGAAGGACTGCATGCCCGAAGCGTGGCTCAGACCCTGGAGCTGCTCTGAGGAACCCTATAAAAGCACTTGGAGCACAGAGCTCTTCAAACCACTCTTCTTGGCTTCTCCTTCGTGCTGAACTGAGTAAGTCTGACTTCAGTTAAATCTGTTCTGTGAGTTTAAAAGCTACTTTAATAAGAGTTTTCATGTATTTATGTCTGAGCACTTAATGTCTTTGCCTATTATTGGAAGAATGTTATTTTCATAAAAAGAGATTCTGTAACTTCCTTCAGCTTGGCAGGCTTTGGAGGGTATGGGATTCATATGGCGAGCGTGGGGTTTCAAGAGATGCTTGCAGGTTTCAGAAAGAATGTCTAACGATTTTATCTGTGGCTGGGAGTGCTTTGCAAATGAAGACAACAGCTTTAGGAATAGTTTTAAAGAAATATTGCTAGGTTAATCCTCATCTGTCCTTAATGAGGCTTTGCTGACATCTAACAGGCTATCTGATCTTCATAATTTCTGTATATGAGTTGCAATCACCTTTTATACTGAGCTGTAGAAGAGTAATTTTCTGAATCTTGTATGGTTTGGATAAATGAGGGCTCCCCTTTGCAAATGCACCTGCCCTGTTGCTCTTGACCCATTGCTCTCCCCACTTTATGTGTTTCAGGCTTCCTTCCAGCCAGAAGGATGTCTTCCTACCGGCAGGCCTGCAACTACGGCAGGTACCCACCCCCCGGCATGAACGCCTGCAGCCAGCCCTGCGTCACCTCCTGCGGGGACTCCCGTGCCGTGGTCTACCCACCTCCCGTGGTCATCACCTTCCCAGGCCCCATCCTCAGCTCCTGCCCTCAGGAGAGCTTCGTGGGCACCTCAGCCCCATTGGAGATAGGCAGCTCCTTTGGCTACGGGAGCTCCCTGGATGCCCAGAGCTCCTTCGGGTCCGGTGGCTCCCTGGGTGGCAGATACTCCTACCCCTGCTATTCCCGCAGGTACACGACTTACCATAGTGGGAGCTGTGGGCCCTGCTAAGCCCCGCAGGGATTCCCGGGGGAGCTGGACCCAGCAGGGACCAGAGCAAAGTCCCAGTCCGTGAGTGAGCAGAGGAACATGGCTTTCAGAGGGGCAGCGTACCGGGCTTCAGGACCTGGGCAGACTCAGTCACCCTGAGAAACAAGCCTAGACACTGTATTTCCCTTCCTCTTGGATTAGGTATCCGCTAACAAGATCCCAACTCTGTGTTTGAGGGGCTGTTTACTTCAGAAGTATAGAAAAGGTCTTAGTTTAAATTGAAGTGGTTTATAGAAGACTGAACATCAGTGCAAATTAGATCCTGTGTATTTTGTCCTCTCATATGGACTGATGTTCCATGGCTTTGGAAATATAGTGGGAAAACTTCTCAGATCTCCAGTTTGATTCTGGAAGCTATGCTGTTTCACGTAGTCTGGGATTTAAAAAACAAAACAAACCCACAAACAGGTGAAAACCAAACTTGACTCTTAAATGCTTCAAACGCAACGAAGACAGAAGGTCGTCTTACAAACTGCAGCCCCCAAAGAAGGCAACCACGTCCATCCCCAGAAAACCCTGCAAACGTATTCTGTACTCTCTGGATTGTTATGTTCTGCTGCTATGAAGTCCTTGTCCTGTTTCAATTAAAGTTTATATTGCATCACAGTATTCGCTTTCTGGTTTCCTTTTTTCCTCAGCTTAAAACTATTGGACAACGATGCTAAAACGATGCTTCATTTGAGACCCAGGCTGCCCTGGGTGTTAATCAACAGCAAAGGACAAGGTGTCCTGGTCGTTGTTTGTGTGTCATCCACTGAGTCACAAGATGTGGGCATCCCTAAAATATTTTGTAAGGATTCATGGTGAAAGGGGTGAGATTAAACAGTTGCGCTAGACTGTTGGATCAGAGATTATCTTCGTCCTCCCACTAGCTTACCAAGAGAAAGGAGTTACCCTCAGTATCTTCGCTATATTTTAAAAACCTATTTGCTGCTTAAAGTCTTCTGCTAATTGCAAATGCCAGTACTAGGAATAGATTTCCATTTCTATCCTGGGAGAGCCCTGGCTTCAGCGTCTTCATGGAGCTAGACCCAAAGAGTGCAGAAGCAGTGGTGTGCTGTGGGTATGTAGGTAGCATCATTTTCTCTGGCTATTAAAAGCATTCTCTTTTTGCTAGAACCGAAGGGCCAAAACTGTTATTTCCAAAGTAACTGAGTACTTGTGACTGGAAGAAAACCGCGTTTTGGTGACTACTGGAAACTTACGGTATCATCTGGAAGAGAAATAATGGAGCTCAGACAGAAGTCGTCTTTTCATTGAAACGGAGGTAGGTGGAAACCGGAGGTGGAAGGAACACCAGGTCAGTGCTATGCAATATGGTTTTTAATGGGCATGAGAAGCAGAGCTAGCAGTTGCAATAACACAGACAGACACCTCAGGACCCTTTATATCACAAAACTTGATATTAAGTCCTGCATTTGGAGTATTTTTGCTTTCCATATTACAGCTGTATAATTTGAGTTAGATGTCCTGGTTTTGCCTCTTTTCAATATATTCATTTCAAAGCAGACACTAAGGCAAATGAGGTTTCCATGACTCTTGTACTGTAGTGCTGTGGAAGGCCACAAAACGACGTACCAATTCCTACGATGCATTAAACTGAACACTGTTTAACCTCAAGGGTATTGAGGGCACCTCAGTACTTGCAGTGCACAGATCTCTTTTTGTAAGTGAAGACCTGCTACTTGCGTGACGATGGCTGACGAGACCCGGGTGGGGCCAAGAATGACGGTGGCCAAGCCCCCTCATATGTATAAAAGAATCCCCTAGGGAGTGCTAGCAACCAGGGTGGGCAAACAGGGCGTAGTCCATCAGAAGGGTGTGCAGAAGGGCTCTGAGGCTCGGCCAGCTCAACCAGGGAGCGATGGCATCCATTTGGCCGAAAGCCATGGCCTCTCCAAGCTCCGCATTATGGTGGATTTGGCGGTGCTAGTTTAACGGCTGGACTTGATGATCTTAAAGGCCTTTTCCAAGCTAAACCATTCAATGATCAGCCCGTCCCCAGGAACAGTGCAACAAACGCATAGGAGGGAAAGTATAAACAGGAGATGCCAAAAGCCTGAAGTGTAAAATGGAAAATACGCTTATAGGTTGAGCTTATTCTATTTTTCTAATAAATAGCAAATTTACCCCAAGATGAAGCTTTCAGGCAATGAAAATTTTCAGTTAAAGTAATATAAATGGGGAGAAAATAAGAGTTTTGGAAAGGAAAAGTGCTTAAAAACATTCTGTAGCTGTATATGAAAGAATGAATACTTGATTAGATGAGAATCTGGCTAAATAACCATCCTAAAAAATAAAATCTAGTATCAAAGTATTTCTGTTGTGAGACTGTGCAAAGTAGAGGAGAGAATTTAGACCCCCATGTGCTCAATGGAGACCTCTAAAAGCCATACAGGTCTCTAAATCCCACATTACCTCCCCAAATCCACACGTCCCAAAGCCCACAGCAGACTCCTTGGAGTAGGGAACTTGTTTATAGCAGACGCCTACAGCAATTCTGAGAGTAATAAAGCTTTACACTAACACTAAAGATGTAACAATCAAAAGAGTAAGCCAAATCAGACTTATTTTACCCACTGCAGAGAGAAAGTTAAGAGAAATCGGTAAACAGCCTTGAGCTGCAAGTGCTCTTATACAATTTCTCCAACTGCCTGGAGGCTAGAAGGCCTGTTTGGTGGTGATTATCTCATTCACTTGCAAATCAGATGTTGTTGCTCGGATCATTCATTCAGCTGCTGTAATTGCCTTTCCTGGGGTTAGTTGTTAGTTCCGAGCCCCACGTAGTGTAGCACCCGTCTGACAACTGACTTTGGTTTCTTCATGGTCACTACTTGCAGTTGACAACACAGAAAGTTTCTTTTCAAAGAAAGCATGCAAAATTCCTCATTAGGTTTTAAAAACTTTGGCGTGAACTCCTTGGTCGATGTGTTAAAGAAATCCAAATCCTCCAACTGGAAGCAGAGCTGGAGACTAAATAAATCTGTGGACTCTCCAGTTCCTTGGAGAATTATCACTTCTTTACACGATAAAATAACAAGCAAAGCTATCACTGGAGAAGGAAGGCTTATGTCGTTTGTACTACATATGTTTAATTAGGAGAGCTTAATTTAGCACATTGCAAGGCTGGTTTTCAAACATTTTTAAACAGTATAAGCCCAGATTTTACGTAGGGTAATCCTCTTAGGTATCTTTTCAATTGACAGAGCAAATTTACACCATATAAAGACCAGAATGTTCATAAATTTAAGATTTTGATTCTAGTATAGCAGAGAAAAAAATGTCTTCTATGGCAAAGAAAATAACCTTGTCCTGCAAAGCTATGAAGGGTCTGCTTAGGAGTGGGATAAGATCATGTTTTGAAGTGAAACTATTACTCGTTACCAAGACCTAAAATTGCAGTTACACGTCATTAATTTTATTACAGTAGAAGTCTGTATCTGAAACATGTTAATCACACAGAGGCGCTTTGAAGTCCTTTATTCTGTGGAAAAAAATTAGAGCAACCCAGATAAGTGATGTCTAGAGCATCCTCATAACCATCCCACATAATTCAAGCAATTACCTATGCCGTAAAGGACAAGGCTTAAATTGTTAAGGGTGTGAACAAGCACGAGAGAGGAATGAGCTGCAGCGAGGCATGTTTCTCCTTCCCAGCCTATGCACGAGGCACTCTGTTTCATCCTGCCAAACCAAATGGAAAAATGCCAACTCAGAAAGCTGGAGTATCCCACCCGTCAGGGTCAGCGGTGCTGCTTGCAGCCACCATGGTAATGAACCTTATCCAAAGGTTGGGAGAAAAAGAGAGGAGAGTTTGTGTCCAGAGAACAAAAGGTCTCTGCCAAGACCTTCGTAACTCTGGTTATCACAACCAAAGCCTGTGTGAGTGTCATTTTTGCAAACCAAGAGACCTGTGGGTTTGTTATCACCCTTTATCCTTATCTCATGGGGATGCTGCCTTCAGCCGGCCCCCAAAGTAGATGAGGATGGTGAGGTGCCATGTGCCGTGCCAGAAGTGTGTTAACATCACCAATTACAAGCGCTGAAGTTGACCAGCTACTGCCCTGGGCTCATTCCTACGGTGATCACTGGAGAAATTAAAAGAGAAGTAACCAGATCATCCATCACAGCAGGCAGAGATCTTTCCAAGGGCAGAGGCTTTGAAGGGCCTGTGATGCATAGACCTAAAACCTTCCAAGCTGGTTAAAAACTGACCATTGCAGCCAGTGGAGCGAGTGGGACGTTTCTCCAAAAATGCAGAAGAGCAGCCAGAGATTGGAGGTACCAAAACTTCCATTTCTGTGGACTACAGAGGGAGTCTAGCTGACCGGCTTAGCCCTAAGTCAGGTGCCTAAAGCAAATCTCTCCCACATTTTGACTCACTTTGCACAGAAAGACTTCTTTGGGGGAGGGAGAGTTGGATCTCTGTAAGCCTGAAACATGCAGCAAGGAGCTGTAATGATAAATCGGTAAAAATAATGGACAAGAGTGAGTGAATACCTGACCACTCTTCAACACGGTTGACACCCTTCTAGGGAGTCAACAGGGAATTCCAGATTAGCACTTATGGACTCATTATCTTATTACATAGCCTGTAAATTCCGCTAATTGTTAGATGCTGCAGTTATATTGGGCACCCTAAAGGGACAGATACTGCACAAATGCAGGCCATGAGACATTGCCTTTCCCTAGGGGTTTGCCATATAAGCATAAAATAATAACACTCAAAATTGCAGAAGACAGTTTTAAAGAACTACTAGTGATAGTTATGTTTAACTACTAATAGGTGCAAGAACAGCAGTGGCTGTTCAGAAACGTTTGTGGTAATCCTTTTAAAGCTGACTTTAACAGCACTAGCAGTGCCTTTACTAACATTTACCTTCAATAGTTTTGCTTTGTCTGGTCAGTTGTTTGGTCTGTAGCACTTATGAGTCAGCAGCAATAAAAAACTAATAATTTAT